AGTCTCTCTTATATTATATAGGAAGCCTTGCACAGTCGGCGTTTTTTACGGACCAACGGATTTCTAGTGTCGCTACGTTGTACATATTACCGGTGGCTAGGTTTATGCTGCCTGTCACCGCTCGATGGCCGTTCGCGCAAGCCCCAGTCTCTACTTCAGCGCGTGTACCCATGATAACCTGTTTCATTTTGTTACTCGTAAACTTGGTAGTGACGTAACAGTTGTGCACGAGTGCATACGTGTGGTAACGTATGTGTGTATATGTGCGTATGTGTGCATATATGTGTACATGTATGCGTACTTGTCTTGTGTACGTGTGTATGGAGAGGGGCCCCTTCCCTTTCATCCGGGACTCTCATGCACACAGATTTGAGCGTCTGTTTCGATTGCGTAATGTAGAGTATGCATTTCATTCACTGTTCCTTTGTCTGTCTGTGCCGTCACCATGGTTTCGTGCAACGAGGCAAGAGGGCCGAGCAAGTGCATTCCACAGCCATCGTGTTAAATAATCGATACTAAGAGCTGGCGAATAAAACTGTCACCGACACGTTACGTGTAATGTGTTTTTATCGTGCAGAAGGTTGTTTTTTTGAGAAACGATACCAATGTACTCGCAAAACACGATCGACGGGGCATGCGACACAGCCGAAGAAATGACAACGATCGAAAGTCGTCAAGGACATGAAACGAATTTACTGACGATGACTATAATGCTGAGCTTACCGACAAAAACAATCACACCGTCATCCGATTACAATTCTCAAGATTTCGATTCTGCGCCGGTACTGGCGCGACCACACACATACACGTGTAGTAGTTTCCACTGCTCAGCAGTGGGTTAGAAGTACAAACAAATTACTCCAATACAAAACTAATAAACCGTCGGAATATACAATTCCGTACAAAAATAAATGCACACGACTGCAACGCGCGACAGCAGAGGGCGCTCACCCATCTACTCTCACCAGGTGGCGAGGGTGGACACCGGGAAATGTTTGCGCGAAAAATTCGGGAAGGTGTCACGGGAAATCACAGAGTTGCACCAGCCACTGAGGGAAGCAGGATGCGAGAGGAGTAAACGAACACCTGGTGATATCAAATCAACGATCGAATTCGTGATCGCGTCGTTCGGCCGCCGTTACGACCTTGAAACGTGCGCTCCTCGTTCCTCGCTAATGCCACTGTTCACCTGTAGATGGCGCTGACAAAGAAAAGCGAATGTGTACGTATACGGTTCGCTTTTCTATCACAAGGTGGTGCTCTCACCGTCTCCAGCCGCGGGACTGCGGTCCTGCGTACTGCTCGTAATAATGCGATGCTAATGAGATGCAAACTTTTCACGCGAGCGGGTCAAAACATTGAGAAGCGACATTTGAGATTCCAGAAACTTATATACATTGAACCAGGAGTGTATCAATATTGATACACTCCTGATTGAACGATAACTCAGTCCCTAACCCTTCGATTTTACGACAACAGCAGAGATTGCATGAGAGAGGCCATGTACGGTACAGTCCGTGACTCCACCCTTCCAATAACACCCCGCTGCCCATCACCAACCCCTCCTCGACCACCACCGCGATATCGTTCCCCTCCTACTCTAGGGCTTGCTGGCGAATTTTCCTTACAGAAGCAGGATTGCAAATAATTAAGGGCCATACTGCCACGATTCGTCGTAAGCCAATCTTACCACGGCCGCTTCCGAAAATGCGAAACGAAGACGTCGAAATTCTTTCCCTCGTGAGATTACGTAGGGCGCGTTTGTTTGGTTGGATCCACGGATCTCGATCCGATGGATTCGTTGATCTGACTGTTCACTTGATCTCGATCCACCGAACCCAACCCTGCTAGCGAGGCGGATTCGAACGGGATCCAATATGGCGGCCTGCGCCACAGCCAATCACAGCTTGTTCTTTGTTATAAACCATCCCGTGATAGGTCACAGCGAAACGTGAACCGGTGAAAGTGAGTTTTGCATTTGTTTGGTCGGATCAGGATCATATGATCTCGATCAGACGGATTCGTCCCAAACAAACGCGCCTGTAAACTTCGCTCACAGAGTTCAACACCTGTTAATTATAAACTGTACAGTACACGCGATCGATCGGGACACGCGCCTCGCCACTCCTGCTACTAAAACTATATTCCCCCCCCCCTCCCCCCCGCACGAAGAACGAAGGAGTTCCCACGCAAAAATAACGCGCGCATAAAACGCTCACGACTAAGATCACGATTAACGTACGACCGAGAGTACGCGAAACGTGTTTACAGCAGACAAACCGATAGTACGATGTCGAGAGTATACGTGATCATGGTTAAGACGACTCGTTTGGCGACAAGGCGGTTTAAATGCCCGCGCGCCTTCAAACCTGCCAGCAACCTATGAGCGTGTACATAAAACAAGTGTACGTGCATTACCGAGATCACCTTGCACAGACTATACACTACAAGAGCGCCATCCACTGTTGGTTTTATCGCCCTGGAGCACATAGGGCAAGGGTTATTAACCTGTGGTCCATGGACCCCTTTGGGGTCTGTGGATGGTGGATGGGCTTCAGGGGGGGGGGGGCGTAAACTAGGCGCATAAAAATAATTGTGTACTTGTTGAGAATTCGAATTCCAATTGAGAAATTCGTAACTTCATAATTTTGTCGTTTGAGAAAAAGTTAACGTTGAGACGAATTTTGTTTTTGAACACAGCCCCCTGGTCACTACTTTCGGCAAAAGCGTTTGGACGGACGGACAATCGTAGCTATCCACGTAACAACAGAACCAGGATTGGGAAGCACATTAAGATCAATCCAAATGTCTACCCAAATACAACCACCCCTCCCGGTACTACTGCTACTCCCGGAAGAGTTGGACCACTCCCGGTACTACTGCTACTCCCAGAAGAGTTGGGTCGAGTCGGGTCGGTTGCGCGTGCCTCCTCGTGTACGTTTCCGCAAATGCGTTCTAAAAGCAAACTACTTCATCTACATGTCAAAGCCGTCATTGCTTGACGACTCTAAACCCCGCGCCCGCCTCTGGCGCCGGTTATACAAATAACGGGTCGCCGCGAGAAACGACCGCCCAACAAAGGTTCCTGCTTCGTGCCGAACCCTACCAAATCTCGCCTGGCGTCTCTAAAAATCGGCCGATCGATCAGACTCGCAGGAACAACCCCCGTAGATTTCGGCGGGGCAACGCACGCCGCAACCGCAGAGCAGGTGACATATTACATGTCCCGCTAGCCGTGCCACCGTCTCACGACCGATCATCCCCGTGTCCAACGACCGCCCGTGCTCTCACGAGTCGCTCTAAAACCGGTTTTCCTACGGGAGGATGAGGGGAATAAAACCGAACCTCCGCGTTCCTTGACGCACGGGAGATGGCAACGCCGGCGCCGGTTATACAAATAACGAGTCGCCGCGAGAAACGACCGCCCCACGCAGGTTCCTGCTTCGTGCCGAACCCTACCAAATCTCGCCCGGCGTCTCTAAAAATCAAGGATCGATCGGACGCAGGAACAACCACCGTAGATTTCGGTGCGAGAAGGCGGGACCTCCCCGCCATCTCCCACCAACACCGAACCGACGATGGCGAAACTCCGTCGACACGCGGCGGCGCCCCCTATACCCGCTGGTGTCCGTTGATCGCGACGAGACCGCGGCGCGGCGGCCGCGTCGCCACCGGCGGCGGCTGCATCATGTTCATCTCGCTCTCGTCGCCGCCGCCGGCGTCAGCGTCGTCAGCGCCATCTAGCGACTGCTCCCAGACGCTGCGCAGCGCGACGTAGATCATGACGAGATTCTTGATGAGGAAGACGGAGACGTCGCTGTAATAGACGTGCCAGAGCCAGACGCGCAGCACAGCGTACGGCACGTCGACGAGGAGCAGGTACGCGAGCGTGTGCGCCGTCCGCGCGCGCGCCGGCGCCACCTTGCGGCCGAAGTGCGAACCGCTGAGGCCGAGCAGCGTGACGGCGGGCAGGAGGAAGTTGATGCAGCCGAACGCGGCGACGGCGCGCGTGACGGAGAACGGCAGCAGCACGTGCGACTCGAGCGTGAAGAGCACGTCGAGTAGCGTCACGCTGTCGAATATGTCCATGGTGACGCCACCTGCGGGAAGAAAAACGAGACTACGCGTTAAAACGTTTTTTTCTCTCAAATTTTCGAAAAATCGCTGTGACCTGAGCTCGTGAACTCTTTTGTGCGCTTTTATTTTTCGCCGTTAGGTGGCGCCACATTGCAAGTCATGAACGTTCTCAAACCAGTGTGTGGCCGGATTTGTCGCTCGACCCCCCCTCCCTCGCGAAACCACTCTGGTCGCCGCGACGACGCGCTCTGGTCGCCGCGACGACGCGCTCTGGTCGCCGCGACGACGCACTCACCTATCATGTAGGATATGTAGGCCTGGCGTGCGGAGTTAGGCTTCGCGTCGTGGTGGCAGACGACGTAGAGCAGGAAGATGATCGCTGTGACGGCGAGGATCGTACGCAGGACGTTCGGTCCGTACCTCTCGCTGTCCTGAAACCCAACGACTGATTCCGTGAGAGAGTTATCGGTATTATTCCCGCGGTCCCAGCGTAGTAAATCGTAGGTATTATAAGGCTAGTAAATGACGAATTTCCCTTGTTTATTGATGTCACACTCCTCCCTATTATCTACTCCTGATATTATATACTCCTGATCGTATGTATACACAGTGCTCCCAGCCTCCCACCCATTACTGAATTAACAGTAGTAGCAAAAGTAGCATTTGCGACAGGCCCTTCGGTTTTAGGGGCCCCGTCGTTTTAGGGGTCCCGTAATATCATGAACTGTCTAATAATTAAATTTTGTTTAAAAAAAAAGTTGTTAAGTTACCCTTATGTGTTTTAATATGTATGTGATTTTATTTAGGGCCCCTTTATAACGTATGCTACAGGCCGCGCACTAGCTTAATCCGGCCCTGCATGCTCCCACCTGTTGGGAATCTGCCGTTAGTGTTTAACTGTGACACTGTTCTCTCTACTGCAGCCATCAGCGCGGCCGTATCGAAGTGGCAGGCGGAGAAGGAAGCTGGCCTCATGGAGACGTCTGAGGGAAAGCCGGAGGAGGAAGAGGAAGAGGACATCTACGCTGTGGCTCCGGAAGCTGAGGTGATGCAGACTTGCACGGAGGCGCGCACCTGGACAATCACTCGTACACAAACACGAACGCGTGCGCATGCATAAATAAACACGCGCGCGTGCGCACGCATACACACAGACAGGCATGCACACGCACCCATGCTCTACAATAATACTCTACTTTGAAGTGCATCTCTGTATGTAGATAGTCACATGATTTTCCCAGGAAAAAGATAGACAATATACCTACACGCGCAAACACACATCTACTATATAATAGTAGAAAGAGCCGAAGTGTCGTTTTCCGTATCTCCTCCGAAACCGTGCCACGTGTGCTCACGCGAATCGAGCTGGGGCCCCTTCTGGACGTCCCGAATACATTCCGCTACGTTGAAACGCGATTTTTCGATGGTAAAGTGACTTCTTGAAGCAATTTTCTAAAAAGTTATGTACCCGAAGAAACTTCGGCATTCAGCGGAAACCCGCACCAAATTTTAAGATCGCCAAATCCGCACGCGCACACACGCACACACCAAAGCCATTGCGGCTGCGCACTGCCGCGCACAGCTGTGAGGCGAAAATTTAAGAGAAACCCCAACGAGAGTTGTGTGTGTGCGTGTGCGTGCGCGTGCGCGTGTATGTGTGTACGCGCCCGTGTGTGTGTGTAAATGTGGTATGAGTGTGCGTGGGTGCGCGTGTGATTGTGCGTGCGCATGCCCGTATATATGTGTGTGAATACGGTGCGTGCGTGCGTGCGCGCGTGTGTGCAAACATTTGACAACGGGAGGTGTAACCGTGCCCGCGCTTACCCGGCTCCCAATGCTCTCACATTTTTAGACGCCGTTTCGATTGTCTAAGTCTAAGAGCACACACACACCACACTATATATACCATAACCTTTTGAAATTGTGTTAAACTATTAATGTGTTTTCTCACGGGTTTGAATGATAATATAGCTATACTAAATGTAGATTAAAGGTATAATAATAAGAATTTAATTAGGTGGAGCCTGCCAGGGGCGTAGCCAGGATTTTCAAAGTTGTAGGCACGACTATCTGAGCGGAGCGGCACCATGGGTTGGCGCGGAGCGTGCAAGAAAATTTTTGGTTTTACAAACCCCCCAGATGGCTGAAAACGGCCCTTCCCGAGTGTTCATTCTGGTTCCCTGGCCTCTTGCTAACTTGAGACACCTCATTCAATATCACTTTTAAACCCAAAAAACAAACGAGTTAAAATAGTGTTACGAACGAGTTAAAATGTTAAAAAACTGACAAGATCGGATCCTAGTCTTTTTCGGCGGGTAGAGTGTTGAATGAAAAGGCACACGATAGAAATGACAGCCTAGATGACAGAAGAATAGGTCACCTAATTTAGCCATATTCTTGCTACGTTCATTTCAATAGTTTTTCCTGTCTAGACTCTTAAACTCGTCCAGCAAGCTTATGGATTTGAATTATGGGTGTTTTAAAAAAAAAGATAACTTGGCCAAAAAAAGTGTAGGTCCCCGGGCCTACAGTGCTACATACTGGCTACGCCCCTGCCTGCACCTAGCATAGCAAGCCACACTAAACGCACGCACGCACACCGGCACACGCACACACCAAAAAGATAGCGCGTGCGGTGTATAAAAAGAGTATGTATATATATATAT